GTGTATATATATATATATTATATATATGAAACAACTGATTGTTGTTGTTAGATGCTATTGAATTGACTACAACTCATAGTGATTTTATGAAAAAAAAAGGTTACACTGCATCTATATAATGAAGCAAACCACAATGAATTCTTTTATGAAAGATTATTAACTTATTAGGATTAAGCAAAATAGTTTTAAATTATTCAACATTGTTTGCCTGGGTAAATGGAATCCCCTAGAGGATGAGGGCCAATCAACTTATGGAGCAGGAGTTGGCAAACTACAGCCAATTAAACCCAAGAAATAAAAATGTTAATAATAAAAAAATGAAGATAAATATGCAGCAAAGGTCATATGTAACTCTCAAAGTCTAAAGTATTGAATGTTTGGTCTTGTCTAGTGAAAAAAAAATAATATGTGTTAACTCCTGTTAGAAAGCAGTGGGGTTGTAGTTTCCACTTAAATCTGACCCTGCATCTTTGTGTTCTTTAGGCCAGCATTTTATTGATTTTTTTTTTTTAGAATAGTTTCCTTAAATATTTCTCAAGCGAAAATCCTAGAAAATATTGCAAGGAGGAAAATTATGTACATAAAACACATCTTTGTTGTTAAGCCACCAAATCAGAACTGACCCTGCTGACTCTGCAGCCAGTTTTCAGAGGCTGTAAATCTTACGGGAGGCAATTGCCCATCTTTCTCCTCAGAGAGGGTGAGGAATTGAAGCTGTGTGATTTCAGGTTGGTAGTGCAACTCCTTAACACGAGTAAAAGAAAATAATAGATTTTTAAAAAAGAGTTAAGAGAAACGCAAACCTCTTGTACCACTTGAAGGTAAGAAGGTGATATGTATCATCATGGGGTAATGAAAGTTCCCCCCGTATAGGTCTATAGCTTAGAATGTCAAGGCTTTTACCATGATTACCCACCAAGATGGAATATTCTGTTATTCAGTAACACTAATATTTTTTCTGCTTGACTATATGGGGCCCGAAATGCATCAGCAGATCAAAAGCTAAGTTTCTTTTTCTTGTCAATGGCTAAATTTCTCAGGACCCAAACCTCAAATCAGTCATTTGACCCTCCTGGAAACGGAAAACTAACATAAACAATTAGAACTTGTCTCCTCAGTTTAGCATAGTTCAAAATTTCCTAAGTCACTGTATCAAAAGGAATTGTCAGACACTGAAGAATTTAATGAAATAGCATTTGAGCCAGAGCCTATGGTGATGAAGGAAGAAGTTCAAGCTGCTTTGAAGGAAATAGCAAAAAATAAAGCCCCAGGAATAGATGGTATACCAATTGACATATTTCAGCTAACAGATGTTGCCCTAGACGTGCTCACCAAGTTGTGCCAAGAAATCTGGAGAACCACTTGGCCAACTGACTGGAAGAGGTCTATATTTGTTCCCATTCCAAAGAAGGGTGACCCAACAGAGTGTGGAAACTATAGATCAATATCATTGAGTTCACATGCAAGCAAGATTCTACTGAAGATTATCCAAAAACGACTGGAACAGCACATCAGCAGAGAACTGCCAGAAGTCCAGGCTGGGTTTAGGAGGGGTCGTGGTACTAGGGCTATTGTAGCTGATGCTAGATGGATCTTAGCAGAAAGCAGGAAATACCAGAAGAACGTCTATCTGTGTTTCATTGACTATGTAAAGGTGTTTGACTGTATGGATCATAACAAACTGTGTCTGACTCTGAGAATAATGGGAATCCCAGAACACTTGATCGTTCTAATGCAAAACCCATACTTTGACCAAGAGGCAGTCATTAAAACAGAGGAGGGAACACTGCATGGTTCAAAACTTGGAAAGGTGTACACTAGAGATGTGTCCTATCTCCATACCTTTTCAACCTATATGCAGAACAGATTATCTGAGAGGCTGAGCTCTATGAGGAGAAGTGTGGAGTTAAGATTGGTGGAAGATCTATCAACAAACACAACCCTGCTTGCTGAAACTGAGGAGGACCTGAAATACTTGCTGCAGAAGGTTAAGGACTGCAGCCTTCAGTATGGATTGAGGCTCAATGTCAAGATGACAAAGATTCTCACCACTGGACCAATTGGCAGCATCCAGATGGATGGAGAAGAGATTGAGATTGTTCTTTAGTCTGCTTGGCTCCACGGTCAACACCCTTGGCACCAGTAGCCAGGAAATAAAAAAACAAACATATTGTGATGGGAAAGTCTGCTGTTAGGGACCTCTCCAGGGTACTGAAGAGCAATGGTGTCACACTGGAGACTAAGGTGCATCTGAAACAGGCTATGGTCCTTGCAATCACTTGTTATGCATCAGAGAGTTGCACAATGACTAGGGAGGATAGAAAGAGATTTGATGCCTTTGAGCTGTGGTGCTGGAGAAGAGTATTGAATGTACCATGGCCTGCCAAGGAAACAAACAGATTCATCCTGGAGAGGGTTAAACCAGGCTGCTCCTTGGGGGCAAGGATTCTGGGGCTTCATCTGACATACTTTGGACATGTTGTATGGAGGGAGAGGTCCTTGGAGAGGGACATCATGCTTGGGAGGGTGGAGGGATGGCCCAAGAGGGGAAGACGCTCTATGAGGTGGATTGATTCAGTGATTGGAGTAATCAGGATGGGTGTGTCAGAGGCAGTGGATTTGGCACAGGATAGAGCCAGTTTTAGGGCTGTTATACATAGGGTCGCTATGAGTCGCAAGCCATTCAATAGCACATACAACATGTTGTGGACAGATTTTTCCTCCTTTACAATTATCCCACTAACCATATCTAGTGATTATGTATATAATGCATGTTATATTCTAATATAATAGAGGGAGTTCTTATGGCCTTAGAAGAAGTAAGAAGTAAGGGGTAAGAAGAAGTGCTGCAATCCCAAAGGCACACAGTTCAAACCCACAAAAGCTGCAGGCCAGCTATCAGCAGGTGTGACTCGATGACACACAACAAAATAGCAACAATATCATAAATTATATGTGGTGATTGATAGTCCTGATGTCTACTTTTAGGTCTGTTCTTCTATCTTTTTGCAGACACATGTATGTGTTTGTGAAGCATTAGAAAAGATGATTAGGCAACCAGGGCACATTTATTTAGGATCATTATCTTAGGGTCTTTTTTTAAACTAAAATACTCAAATGGTGCCTCAGGGAATTTACCTTCCCTGACAAAACATTTGAAACCAACTATAACAAAAGTTTCAATGCTAAATGTTTATGAAGATGGTTAAAAATACTGCCTTGACAGGCATTTTGGAGTATTTCTAATCATATTGTTGACTTCTGCTGACCCAATTTCTCGTGAATATGTAATGTGTTCAGAGCAGTGAGCATTTCAGTATTACACGCCTTCTTTTTCTTTAACAACTGTTGTTAAGTCTAAATAAATTAGACTTAAGAGAGAAAACCATTTTTGCATAGATTTAGTTCTAAATTTTAGAAGATGAAACATAGATGAGCATTATTCTTCTATATGAGTAACACTTTGTTTGCCTGTCTCCTAGATGTGAGTAGCATGTGACCCTCATTTCTGAAGGTCATTTATCTGTCAACAACTGTGTTCTGTAGCACAGCATGATCCTCCTGCAGCAATCAACAACCAATAACAAAAACACTAGAAATATACCAGTTGAGGCACATTTATTTCTTATTTCCACACTATAATAATCTTTGAGAGTATTATTATAGTTCAGTGCGTGATTATTGAATTTGTGATGATAACCCTGAGTCACCCAGGAAAACACTGTGCACGTGCATTTATTCAATAAACACTTAACTCCTCTTCTGTGGAAAATACTTTGCTGATTGCTTTGAGAGACTTACCATAAGATTATACAATTGTCTATATTCTCTAGAAGTTCATAATATTCTAAAAGAATGATCATCTGTAATAAATTTTTATGAAGCAAGACAATAGATAGGTGTCAGAAAGAAGGTCTGAGTCTTAGGAAAAGAAAATATCTTTTCATAATTTATCATAAAGATATTTCATTTCATTTTTTAATTGGAAATCTAAGCTCCATATAGCATTTGGATAGGCTAAACATATTTGGTGGGAGGATGCGCAATCTCCTTCTATGTGATTTACTGACTCTGAAAATCCATTGTAGGTTCTGCTATGTGTGGTTTCAACTTAACAGCACACAGTAATAAAACAATAAACCTATTTTGATAGGAAGCTCCTGTGGCCTAGAGGTAAGAATCCACATTTCCGAAGGCCCATAGTTTGAATCTACAAATTGCTCTGCAGGAGAAAGATAGGTAATCTCCTCTTGTGTGATTTACTGCCTCTGAAAACCCATTGAAGGGTCAGCTATGGGTTGGTTCTGTCCTAATGGTATGCATGCTACACAACAACAAGAAATATATAAAAGGGACCTTTGGTGGCCTACCTACTAGGTAAGGAATTGTGCTGCCAACTCAAATGTAAGTGGTTCACAACCATCAGCTGCCCTGGGAGAGAAAGAGGACCAGTCTCCTCCCACGTGATTTACAGCCTCTAAAACCCACTCTGGAGGGTTAGCTGTAGGTTGGTTTGATAATGGTGAGGGAGAGAAGGGGAGAGAGAGAGAGAGAGAGAGAAGTACTGTTAAGAAAAAAGAAAAATATGTAATTATCTTTGTCAAGATTCTCAGTGAGTAATTTTTAAACATAGGTGTGCAAAGAACTAAGCTTTAGTTACACAGCTGATATTACTACTTAAGGAGAGATAGTCTTCTTGAATGAAGGCAGATTAAATGAGTTGTTAATTTATGTGTAAATCTGAATGTAAATTCAACAATATAAATTTTTAAGATACTACTGTATAGATTATTATGAGTTACTTTTGCACTTGAGAGAGACAAAGGATTAATATGCCAAGAAATCAGATTACCAATCTTAAAGCTCATCTTCTAATTGTTTGCATTTTCAACAACTTCTCAACATCTATTTTCTTGTGGATGACAGTTTCTGTGATGATTTCAGTTAAACATATATGCAAATGCTTTAGATTTATCTTGGTGTCTACGTAGAAAAAATGTCTATGATTTTTATTAAAAATGTGTTTTTCTCTCCTAAGATAAAAAAACCTAATAAAGGTTTAGCTGGTAAATCAAAACAAACAAAGAAACAATAAAAATTCACTGTATGGCTCTAAAGAAATTGCCAACAAGATGTGCTATTGTAGAGAATTAATATGAATTGTTTCAGCAATCACAGCATGATTAAAAATGAGGGATGAGTGAAAGAAAAAAAAAAAAGAATGAGGGGAGCTCTGGTGGCCTAGCCGCAAGAAACTATACTGCAATGCCAAAGACACATGGTTCAAATACACCAGATGCTTCACTGGAGAAAAGAGGGGCAGTCTCCTCCTGTGCCAGCCAGATCTGACTTGAACACCCACACACAGAGGCACACACATCCCCCAAATAAACAAAAGAATGAAAAGTCATTTTGTTGGGTGGGTTTTCAAACAAAACCTATGTCCTTGTATACTTTAGCTGACACTTATATACACTTTTTGCTATATTCCTACTGTCTTGGACTACGAATTTACTGAACAACAAAATATAACTGAGTAAAATAGAATCAGACTGATTTCTTTATCACTCAGGGTCTGTTTAGGAGAGAGAAGCTTTAACAGTTATTTTGAGAAAGAGAATTAAGTAAGTGGATTGTTTTGTTTTTGTTATGTTGTTGTTTTTATTGTTATTTGCTGTTGAGCCGCCTGTGACTCATAGCATCTCGGTGTCTACTCTGAAGCCTGCCCTGTCTTGAGTCAGTCTCGATGACTCCGAGACACCTACTACCCCCCATGACCCCAGTTATTGTGTCAGTCCATCTTATCTGGAATCCTTCCTCTCCTGCCCAGTTCCTCCACCCTTCTGAGCATACTGTTCTTCTCCAAGGTGCTGTCAAGTCAACTCCAACTCAAAAGGACCTTGTGTACAACAGCCTTATTTTGACCCTGCATCATCCTCATATTATCAAACCCATTGTTGCAGTCATCGTGTCAATTCAATGGATTATTTAGTAGATTTAAATAATTGTTGTTGTTATTGTGTACTATCGAGTCAGAACTGACCCATAGCTGACACTCCAGTGGGTTTTCAGAGACAGTTAATTGTTCGGAAGGAGACTGCCCATCCTTCTTCCACTATACATATTAGGTTATTGAAAATTCTAAAAGATAACTCTAACATATCATTATAATAAATATAGAAAGCAACTATCATGTCAAAGCTTGAAAAAACTAGGGAAGAGGTTGAATTTATTAATATCTGAACATTTGAAGGCTAACTGAGCTGAAATTCATGTCACTAAGGAGAGGTGCTATTCAATTAGTCATAGTGTTTACTAGGGAAGAGATTCACCTGTAACTAGGGGTAAGAACTCCTGCTGATGAAGTGAATACATGTTGCTGAGAAAGGAAACATCTCCTCAGGATGCAAACAGCAAACAGAAAAGAAACTAAGGAAAAGACCAATTCCTTCTCAGTATCCTCTATGTGAAATTACTGGGTTCAGGTTGGACCAAAGCCTCTCAATTGCAGTCACTAATCCCCTGAGAGGAGACTCGTGTGTTGCCACAATGCCGAATAATTTTAATGGTGCTTCCAGATTTTGACAGATCTGGAAGAAAAAGCCGGTGATCTGCTTCTAAAAGTCAACCAGTAAAATGTTACAAACCATAACATTCAATCTCATTTTCGATGGGGTGACCGTGGGTCAGGAGCTGTCTTTCCAGCAGCTAACAGAGGTAACATGGAGCGAGCTGGCAAAGCAGAAATGTATTCTAGAGAGTTATCAACCCCAGTGTCAAAATACTGAGTTTAAAAAAAGATGAGTGGGGGGCTAAGAGTCATTTAATAACTTACTGAACTCACTACCAAGAAAATGGATTTATTACAGTGTTGTATTTCTCAATTTAAAATCATACTGCTTGCGTTTAGGTTTTGTTTTCTCTGCATTACAATAACATTATAGTGTATGTATATATGTATGCATGTGTTGTTTTCTGTCAAGTCAGAATGACTCATAGTTGAGCCTCCAGCAGGTTTTCAGAAGCAGTAATTAGCACTGGAAGAGATTGCCCATCTTTTCCCCCCAGAGCAGCAGCAACACACATATATGTTGTTGTTAGGTGCTGTTGAGTTGCTTGCAACTCATAGCAACCCTACACACAACAGCTCTGAACCTTGCTCTATCCTGAGCCAACCTTATTGTCTCTGACACATGTACCCCCACTACTCCAGTCACTGAGTCAATCCATCTCCTTGAGAGCCTTCCTCTCTTTCACTGTCCCTCCACCCTTTCAAGCACTGGTTCCTCCTTGCAACATGCCCAAAGTATGTCAGACAAAGCTTCAGAATTCTTGCCTCCAAGGAGCAGCCTTGTTTTACCCTCTCAAGGACGAACCTATTTGTTCTCCTGGCAGTCCATGGTATATTCAATAGTCTTCCCCAGCACCATAACTCAAAGGCATCAATCCTCTTTCTATCATTCTTAGTCATTGTCCAGCTTTCTGATGCACAGCAAAGAATTGAGAAGACCATTACCTGAATCAGATGTACTTTAATCTCTAGATTGACATCGTTGCTCTTCACTACTTTGAAGAGGTCCCTGACTGCAGATGTTCCCAGTTCAATTTGTCTTTTGATTCCCTGGCTGCTGGTCCTAAGAGTGTTGACTGTGGTGCCAAGCAAACTGAAGCTCTTAACAATTGCAATCTCTTTACTGTCTATCATGCTGCTGCCAATCAGCCAGTGGTGAGAATCTTTGTTATATACATATATGCATATAGCGGCTACATGGTAAGGAATTGCACTGCCAATACAAAGGCACATGGTTGGAGGTCACCAGCCACTCCACAGGAGAAAGTGCAATCTCCTCCTGTGTGATTTTACTGCCTTTGAAAACCCACCAGAGGGTCAGTTATGGGTTTGTTCTGACCTATATATATGATATATATGTAACAGCACGAATACTAGCTTAGAAAGCTGGAGGGCTACAGGAGGGTACAAATACCCTCATTGAGATGATTGACACAGAGACTGCAAGGGTAGGCTTAAACAGAGATGGTCAAACAGATTGGGCAAGTTTAGCTCTGTTGTATATAATTTCAATGAGTTGGAGGCATCTCAGCAGCACCTAACAACAACAACAGGAATACAAGAAAAGGGGGTGGGGGGACCACCAAACAACTCACCTCTGATTTGCTTAGTAAGAAAGACATTCCTTTGAGGGTCTCTTCAAAGGATTCGTTTCCACTAAATATATTTCAAGTTTAATTTTATCAATTGAAGTTTTGAGTTTAATTAACAGATTAAGTTACCTTAGAGAAATAGATTTATTTTTTCTATTTCAATTTTTCTCTCTATCTCATGAGATAGGTTTAACTTGAATATTTTAAGGGCACTTCAAAGACATCTTCACTCCTACTTTATTATCTTTATTGAAAAATGAAGTTACTAAATGAAATGGAGAGTTGGTGGGGGTGTGGGGGGCGGTGTGCGAGGGAATAAAGATGAGAAAAAGAAATCTCTTAATCAGTTCTGTAACAGTTCTTCCCTCTGTAACAGTTCTTGTCTCGATCTGACAGGATGAAGATGGGAACATAAAAGGATTTGAAGTCAAGGATTCAGAATGTTAATACCATTATTTGAAGCTAGAAATCCTGAATCAGTGTTCAGAGAGGAGTTATATTGTTTAAAGATCTGTCGTTATTTTTAGGGGCTCAACTTGTCAGTTGACTCTAATTCATAGTCAGATCACACACAACAATGAGTGAAACAACGGCCAATTCTGTGTCATCTTCAGCATTGCTGCTATGATGGAGTCCATGGCCGTAGTCACGCATCAACCAATCACTTTGAGGGCCTTTCTCTTTCCTCTCTAACCCTTTACATCACTTAAAATAATGTACTACAGGGACTGACCCCTCCTGACAGCATGCCTAAAATATATGAGTCAAAAATCTGATCATCGTCACCTCTTTTTTGGATGCTTTTTGGATGCACTTTTTCCCAGGAAGTTTTGTTTGTCTTTCTGACAGTCTATGGTACATTAAATATTCTTAGTACCGACCACAAATAATAAAGCAAACAAAGATGGGCCAAATATGTGGTATCAGTCTTCTTCACATTTGGAAGCCAAGCCAAGATAAAGTGTTTAGCCTTTCATTATAATTTTTGTTTTCCTTTTAAAGGGAAGAAGAAGAAGAAATCGATGAAGAGGAATTAGAACGACTGAAGGCAGAGTTGGATGAGAACAGACAGATGATTGCCAATGTCAAATGCAAGCCTTGGAAAATGGAGAAGAAAATTGAAGTTCTCAAGTATGATGACACTTTTCATAAATAGTAACCCATTCTTTGACCCTGGTCTCCTAAAGTCTCTTGCACATTTTATATGTAGTGCTGATGGCACAGCAGTTAAAATTGTTGCCTCCTAACCAAAAAGGCAGTGGGTTGAACTTGCTGGCAAGTCCACAGGAGAAAGATGAGACAGTCTGCTTCAATAAAGATTTACAGCTATGCAAGCCCTGTGGAGAAGTTACATTCTGTCATTTAGGGATATCATAAGATTGAAAATTCACTTGACAGAAGTAGGTTTTACACACACACACAAACACACGCACATATGCACACACACATATCAACTCATATACACACATGTATAATAGATATATTAGAATACAAAATATTTATGCTTATGTTACTATATTGGAAGCTCTTGTAGTTTAGTGGTAAGAAGTTGTCAAACCAAAGACAAGTAGTTTGAATCCATCAGTTTCTTTTGTACATAGGGTCAGTACGAGTTCTCGATGACTCGTAGTGACCCTATGTACAAAAGACCTGAGCACTGGTTTGTGCCCTGCTGTACAGAGGTAACTCATGGTTGCTGTGATGCTAAACACTGTGACACTAATGTGCCAAATGCGATGATGGTTACCCATGGTGGACAGTGTTCGGTGGAGCTTCCTGATTAAAACAAGCTTGGAAGCAGGAGCGGCATTCACTTCTGAAATGGCTTGCCTCTGGAAGCTCTATGAACATGGAGAAACGACCAAAGTTATACAGCACACAATAGCGACATATTTTTATAAATACAGACATTATCTTGGAGATATAGCAAGTCCTATTACGGATCACCTAAATAAATAATACAACAATAAAACAAGTCATGTGATTTTTAAAATTCTTTTTTATTTTGTCAGTGCATATAAAAGTCATACTTACACTACACTGTAGTCTATTAGAGGAAGATCTGGTGGCCTAGTGGTAAAGAGCTGTGGTACCAATTCAATGGCATTTGGTGCAATTCCACTGGTTGTTCTACAGGAGAGAGATATGCAATATCTTGTCTGATTTAGTGGTTCGGAAAATGCACTCGAGTATCAGCTATGGGTCAGTTCTGACTCAAAAGCAATGAAAAACACATTCTATTAAATGTGTAATGCACTGCAGAAAAATCTGAAATATTGTGAGAATTACCAGAACATGTCGTAGACACATAAGTGCACACATGGCATTGGGAAAACAGAATTGCCTAGTGCAGGGTTACCACAAAACGATAATATGTGTATATAAAAACTATTAAAAACAATAATAAAAATGCAGTCCCTTCACAACATAATAAAGAGAAAGTAAGAAAGCAATCTCTGCCTGGGTATGTAAGTACTGTGCTCAAAGACAAAAATGAATACTCAAATCCAGTACCTTTGAGTCAGTTCTAAATCAGAGAAACCCTCTAGGACAGAGTAAAACCCCACAGGGATTTTGAGGCTGCAGACATTTTACAGAAAGAGAACCTCATCTTTCTCCCACAAGTGGCTTGTGGGTTGCAACTGCCAACTTTTTGGTTAGCAGCCAAGTGCCTTAACAACAGCATCACCCAAGGTCTCATGTATGTGCATGCATTTGTATAATACTATATATATAAATATATATAGAACATGTGTGTATACACACACATATAAAACAACACATCATTAAAGAGACTATGCTAAAGATTATAACTTAGAACCAATTTGGAGAAAATTTATAGTCTATCGTTTCAACAATGACTACTGGAAGTTCCCAGTCTAATTCACTCCTTACTATCGCTCTGAAAGCGATAATATATTTAGCTTTCACGAGTTGGTGTTGATTGCATGCTCTTATTTCTCAGCAGGGTCTCAGCCGCAAATGATATTTTCATGTGACAGCTTTATTAAGGCACTGGACGGATGTTAAGCCAACAGAACAATAAATAGGACTCCAATTAAGGATTGTGTTAATAGCTACTCCCTGGAAACATGTCAGTGACCCAATTTCAGTCTTAATGTGGAATGTTGATGTCGGTACAAACACCCTCAACACTCCACATAAGGCCCACTGATTTGTAAACTCACAAAATGCAAAAGCAAATGATTAGCTCTTTTGGGGAGAAAAGGGGGGCACACTCGCGTCTGAAGATGAACTCCATTCCCTTGCCATGGTGATTGAAGGAGCAGGATGGGAGTGGGAGATCATCTCTCAATCGTTTGCCAAATTGCATTTGCCTGTGAAATCAGTTTTCTAAATAGTGTTGACTTTCCAAAATTAACTTCCCCAAATCTATTTAATAATGCTGTTAACATCAGATTAGAGAGCTGTCGTCTCTGGTGAGGAAAGGGAGCACTGGGCTAGCTAGCAGGGTAATTGTCGTGTAGTTTTGGTTCTTTTAGAGCTTGTCTGCTATTTCAGGAACTCAGGGAACCTCTAGAGCCTCAGTTAGCTCAGATTCAAACACAGGTAAAGACTATTTTATCTCAGAATAGGAAGTGTGTTGTTGGGCTTCCTGCAATATGGCATGAGAGAAAAGAGAGATCCTGGGTCCTGCAGGTCCATGCTGGGAAAGACCTAGCAATAGGTAGATTTCAGGACACTTGGGGAAATAGCTATAGATTAGTAGGCAATCATGTACTCATTGTCATCAAGTTAGAACCAATCCAGAGCTGGCCTTGCTTTAGGTTTTGAAGCTGTAAATGGCACCGGAGGTAAGTGTCCATCTTTCTCTTCAGGAGCTGCTGGTAGACTTAGCAGTGCAACTCACTATGAACTACGTCATCACTGCTCCCTGTACTGACAGTAGTCTAGTTAAAACACTCAATTTTGAGGCTCCAACAAGAGAAAATAGAACTCTTACAGAATCCATAGGTAAACCAATTTTCAGAAGTGGGGAGAAATAGAACTGGCACAAAAGGCGGGACAATTCTAGATCCTAGCAAGGGGAAGAAACTGAAAACTCTGAGTCCGAAGCCAAATCATAGCAATAAGTGTTTTGCTCTAGGTCCACATGTTGTTGAATAATAATGATGATAGTTTTCCTTACTTGTCAACCTTTTGAGTGTGAAAGATGTAAAATATAAAAAATTAATTAAAAAAAATATTGACAGCTAGGGATATGAACATCTTTAGAGGTTAGGGTCAAAAGATGATTAACAGAGGCATTTAACAAATCATCAAGAAACTCTAGGATTTGACTGCAAATTGTTAGGCACCCTCAAATATGACTCTGGAACTTGAAGACAACATTTTTAGGGCAGCAGACCTGGTTCCAGAGAATTGAAAGGAAACTACCGTCTTACAGTGTAACACCAGTTTCATTGTTTTGTTGCTATTGTTAGTTGCTGTCAATAGATCTGAACTTTGCTCCCTCCTGTGCCATCACCACAACCTCTCCTATGCTGGAGCCCATTGTTAATACAATCACTTTGTCAATCCATCGCCTGGAAGGTCTTCCTTTCTTTTGCTGACCCTCTTTCCTAGCATAATGTCTTTATTCAAGGATCGGTCCCTTCTGACCACATGCCCAAACATTTTTGTGTCTTTTATTCAACACAGACTTATTTGTTCTTTCATCAGCTCGTGGAGTATTCAGTAATCTTCTCCAACACCACAATTCAAAGGCATTTGTTCTTCTTCTTCTGTTATCCTTATTGTCTAATTATTAGATACATTGTTGTTGTTGTGTTGTTGTTATGTGCCGTCGAGTCGTTTGCGACTCATAGCGACCCTATGCACAACAGCCCTAAACCAGATACATAGGAAGTAATTTAAAACATTATAGCTTGAATTAGGCACATTTTAGTCTTTAAATTGATATCTTTGCTCTCTTTAACTCTATGGAGAGGTCTTTGCCAGCAGATTTTCCCAATGAGGTACATCTTTTGATTTCTTGACTGCTGTTACTATGGGTGTTGATTGAGGACCCAAATAAAATGAAATCATTGATAAGTTTAATCTTCTCTCTAAGGAGGATTAGTGTATTTTCCAGAAGGTGGAAAGTAAATGAATTCATATTTATTTTAATAATATAATTTAGAATTATGTGATAGTGATTATATTAAAAGTCATCAGTTTTCTAATGTTCCTAGTTGTAATTTGGAAGTTGAGTGGGTAGATCTTCCATAGTTAACTTGGTAGTGCCCTTCACAAATGAAATAAAGTAACTGAGTAGAAAATAACCAATCTGTTAATGACTCATCCTGAAACCTAAAACTTGTATCAGAACTTGGTGCATGAATTAGAAAACTTCACAACTAAACATAAATAAGCAATGGCCTTATCTTGTTATAATTCACACTCATGGCTATTGAATCAGGACTCACTCACAGCTACCCTTCCAGTGGGCTTTCAGAGGCTACAAATTGCACAGGAGAAGATTGTCTGTATTTCTCCTAAACAGTTGCTGGTAGATTTGAATTGCCAGAGGGGCATGGCTTTGGGATTAGCAACCCATCTCCCTATGGACTGTTCCATGAGACCTAGTATTAAAACTGAAGAGGCTTGGACTCTGGCCTAAATTCTACCTTTTACTTAACCTCTGGGGGCCCTAAATTGCTTGTTTATAAAATGAACAGATTGGATTAAGCTGTGGTTTCCAAACTGTTGTCCTCAAAGTTCAAGTGGTTTTGGGGACTTGCTTCAGGGTGAGTGAGAAAGATTAAAGGAGGAAGGCTGCGAGCTACAGCACTGTCTTCCATTCTCTGTGCACTGTGTACCCCAAAGTGCTCATTTGAAGACTGAATGCACCTATGATTATTTAAATACGAAAAAATAACATTTAGCTGGGTATTTAAAGAAGGTCATTTTGGAGAGAGGGCAGTTACATTTGTAAACCTACAAATTAGAGGTCTAATAATTATATGTTAATTATAATCTTACATGGAGCTGTTTCTTGAGTAGAAGGGCTTTTAAAATAATTTCTTTTTATAACAAAATGTATATTTAGCCCTTTTACCCACTAACTTAAATTCTGAGCCAAGTAGCTCCCCAACTTAATGATTTGGGGAGCTGCCAAGTACGTGGCC